TCTAAACCCAGCCCCAAAGACGTGCAAGGGGCCTCGAGTTCTCTAACTGTATCAATTGTGGCGGGGAGGTCGCGGCGAAGTGCCAGGACTTTATCTGCAAAGTGGCTCACAAATGCCTCACAGCCAATGTCCAATTCACTAATATTTTGCCTGCCCTGAGGCAGAGTTGTCAGAGACCGAATTACCCTAAACAATTGGGCCGGGCGTGAGCCAGCAGACGCAATCGAGGCCGCATAGAATTCCCTCTTTGCGGCCTTGACTGCCATCCCATAGGATCTCATAAACGTCCTATAGGATGTTCTTGACACTTCGTCGCAAGCCCGACGCCACCGTCTCTCTAGCCTTCTCAGTTCCCGTTTCAGCGAGCGCAATTCCTGGGTATACCAGGGCGCTCGCCTATCACGGGTGCAGAGAGGGCGCCTGGGAGCGATCACGTCGATGGCTGAGGAGAGTCGGCCATTCCAATCCTCCACTTTCCAGGACTTTCTGAGTCAACCTAGCTTAACCCAGCTTTCCTTGACCTCCCTGACCCCAGAGATAGAAAGAATGGGCTAATCTTTGTCGTGCACATCAGAGATGTATGTCAAACACTCCTCACAGACTTGACTGACTGCTACATTAGCTCCTGTGGTTGGAAAAGGGCACTGAATGTCTGAACTTAGTTTTGTCCCTGGTCGTTCTGACCAACCACCCTCTGTTATGAGTCTTGACAGAGCAACCAAGGATATCCCTTATAGAACTTAAGTGCACTTAAGTGCACTGTTCATGTATTGGGACTGTGTTGAGATATTCTATGCTGAATATTGGAATGCTACAAAAGTGCTTTCTGACTGAAGTGTGTGTAATAGAATAAACTGAGTTTCGGTTTAGAACAGGGGTGGCCAAACTGCGGCTCAGGATCTGCAATGCAGCTCTTTCATGCATATCGGTCGGCTACTGGCAGGGCAGCTGGGGAAGTGAAGGGAAGGCATGCCTCCCCGATCGGTCTTCCTTTCCCCAGGCAGTGTTCCCCTCCCTAGGTAGGCTTGGGGTGGGGGAAAGCAGAGAAAGAAAGCAACCTTAAATGCATTCTGAAAGCCCCCCCCCCCCCCACCAGCTGGCTTGGAGAAGGCATTTGTCTCTTTAAATCCCTTCTCCACGCCGAGCCAGCCATCATGGGAGCAGGGGGCTTGGAAGATGCATTGAAAATGATATTTGTTTTTTTCCCCGCCTCTCCCTCCCCCATCTTCCTTCCTTCCTTCCTTCTTTCCTTCTTTCTTTCTGCCCGCCTGCCTTCTTTTCTCCTTCCTTCCTTTCTTCCTTTGTCTTTTTCTTTCTCCCCTCCTTCCCCATCTTAACTTAAATGTGTTCTCCAAGCCCCACTGCCACACTGGCTGGCTGGCTTGGCTCGGAGAAGGCGTCTCTTTAAATATCTTCTCCAAGCCAAGCAGGCATGGCAGCATAGGCGGGGAGCTTGGAGAACATGTTTAACATTAAAGGCATTCTACAAGCCCCCACCTGCTGGCTTGGAGAAGGCATTCGTTTCTTTAAATCCCTTCTCCAAAGCAAGCCAACTGGCATGGGGGCATAGGGGGGTGGATAACACATTTAAAGTAAAGTTGCTTTCTTTCCACCTCCCAGTTCCAGTTCCTCCCTGTCTCTTTCC